ATTTGTTTTTTACTTAAGCCCTTGGTATTAGCTCATTTCCCCCCTCCCTAACGAACCCTTGATAATTTATAAATTATTATTTTGTCATGTCTTACACTGTCTGATGTCTCCTTTCACCCACTTTTCTGTTGTCCGTCCCCCAGGGAGGGGGTTATATGGGGAGCCTTGCAATCAGTTCTCCCTTTTGTGGTAAAATTAGGTGCCTTGGCTGATATTTGGGTTGGCTTATATTTGAGTATATATGGTAATTAAGATTATGTTAGTCTGGGTAGACTAGAGAAACAAATGCAGGGAGACTCATATGTTTATAAGAAAGAGTTTTATATCAGAGTCATTGTATATTAAGAAAACTTCCCAGTCCAGTCCAGATCAAGTCCATAAGTTTGCTATCAGCCCATATATCTGATACCAATTTATAAATTCCTCTTCATTCACGCAACACATGCAATGACACCGAATGTAGGAAGATCACAGGCCAGTGGGTGGAAAGTCGTGTTGATCCAGTGGTGGTAGAAGCATCTCAGCACTGGCCTGGGTCTCCACGTGGCTCCTCAAGCTCCAGAGCTCTGGTTCCATCACCATAGCTCCATGTGGCTTGTCAATGGGAATGCCTCACAGAGAAAGGTGTGTGTGTGGCCTCTGGTGAGCTATTTATCTCTGTCGTGCTTCCAAATGAGATCAATCTGCCACTTGATTGACAGACTAAATTCCATCCCTTCACTCTTAATAGTCTCAAGTTGACACAGATTCTGTAACCACCACAGAGATGTATCACCTCCTTAAGTATTACCCTCAATATGAAGTATGTGTGAATTCATTGACCCCATTTCTTTCATCTCTACCTCAAAACCAGGCATCTGTATTACTAAATAGAACTGATGATTACTGCAAGGGAATCCTGAGGCATTGTGGGAGTTCTGTGTGCAGGTACCTGACCTGCAGAGGACAATCCGGAAGGCAGCTATTACACACGTAGAGCCCGCCGAGATCATGCCTGTGTAACAAGTCTGGAAGGGAGAGAGGGAGATGACCGTGGGAATGAAGGGGAGGTTATGTTAGCTCTAGAGAAAACCAAACATCTGGGCATGAAGGAAAAAGGCTAAGGAGGACTTATTTAAGGAGGAGAGTGGCTATGTAGGACGGAACAAAGCAATCGTGTACAGTATAATCTGAACTGCCCACAGACAGGTGGGCAGCCACCTTCGCCAGCCCAAATCACCGTTAAATACGTTTGCAGAAATTGGCAGGCGTACAGGAAGCCTGAAGCTCTGAAAACTACTAACCATGAGACGGACGACAGTAGGTGGGATGATGATATAACCTTTCAAGATGCGAGCCAAGAGGCAGATAGTACTCTCTCAGAGGGAAAGAGGAAGCACTAGGAAGTAAAAGTGGGGACCCTGTCACACATCCTCCTGTGACGCTTCATTCCCAGCCAGAGATGGCAAACGCAGGCTGCCCTGGTTGGCGCAAATGATTAAATGTTTGACTGCTCGTTGAAAGGTTTTGGTGGCTCAAACCCAGCTCAAAAAGTGCCTGGAACCCTGCTCCCAGGTTACAATGGGGCAGTTCTCCGCAGGTGTAGCAGCATTGTTGACACGTGGGTACCAACTTGGAGAGCAACAGCAATGGCAAATGTAAAGCGTACTTATTATCAACTGTGACAATGTTTCCGATCCCGTCCCCCCAAAACACACCCCCCGTCAGGTCGTAGTTTAGATACAGTTTGTGGAGGAAAAAAGTGCTTTGTTTTAGCTTTAAGTTCCTGCCTTGTATCCATTGCTCAGTAGCCCGAACCAGTCCACCACTCTGCTTGATGAATATCTACCTACATGTCAATTACACGAAGAGTTTTTATGACTTCTTTTTGAGATCTGAAAGTTGTCAGAACGGTGGAAAGAATCCACCCACACACTCTAGATGTTACCTTTTGCTCCCTCTACAGATATGTACTTGCATTTTCTGAGAACAAGGACAATGTTGTAGATAGCCAGGACGTGACCACAATCAGGAGATGAGCAATAATTAAATACAGATATTTGTCAGATGCCATCAGTGACCCGAGTCATGTATGTGGTAGCAAAAGGAAACTCGGAAGCAAGCAATAGACTGCCCTGGCACACCCTTTTCCATCTCCTTAGGCTGTAAACGCGCTTCATTCTCAAGAACACAGGGCGGCAGGAAGCCATGCGGTCCTGTGGCTGGCGTGCCACGTCCGTCAGAAAGCACAGGTGGCCGTTACTGGCGACGCTCACTTGGACTAACTTGTCAGCTGGAACGTTACTGGTTTTTCACCTTAATTAATAATAAGTGTCACGTGGGAAAGAAAGCCATTTCTTGTTAAGTAGAGCAGGACTGGAATGAAAGATTATTTTAAACTAATCTAGCTTTTTTTTTTTTTTAATAATGGTCTTAAACCATTTTTCTCCTATAGAAACCAAGTCTGGCTGAAAGAAATAAATCGGTGATGAGTTGGAAAAACCATGATTCAAAACAATGTATTTGATGAAGTTGGAAAGGACACTGGCTTTGGAATAAGCATTAAAAAAAGGAAGGGGGAAAAGGCGTGGAAATGTGTATGTGTGGGGGAAACGTTTATTCTGTGGCACACGGAGAAGCGACAGTGACACTAGTACCCTAAAAGCCATATAATTGATTCATGTTGGCCAATCGATCGCACTCCCACCCCAAACCAAAACCGAATTCACTGCCTTCAAGTCAATTCTAACTCAACAACCCTATAAGACGGGGTAGAACTGCCCCTTTGGGTTTCCAAGTCTGTAACTCTTTCATGGAGTAGAAAGCCTCCTCTTTCGCCCACAGAGCAGCTGGAGGTTTCAAACTGCCAGCCTTGTGGCTTGCAGCACAACATATAACCACTAGAGCACTACCAAATTGCATTCGTTTTTAAGAAGAAAAAACCAACCACCACTGGATGATCGCCTGGGTTGTCTGCCTTCTAAGGTTCGCTGCAGTGTTTCCAAACACCGCCTGCCGTCAAGTCCTCTATCCATGTGCGGCTGCCACCATTCTTCACCTACTGCTGGGGCAGGGGAAGGGGAGGGGTGCATGAAGATCCAGGGGGTGGTGAGAGAAGGAAATTTTTAAGTAAATAAAAACCATGCCAATCTGAGTATTGTATGCCTGGTAAAGGAGACAGTCAAAAGAATGAAACTGGAGAAAGGCCAAGTTAAAAAACATTTTTATAGAATAATCCAGTAAAAATGAATGTTGCTGGGAGGAGAAACGCTTCTAAACAGTTGTAAACTGAGCAAAAGGCCACTATCAATGGGCTGAACTTGAGCTCCCAAATAGTCTTTAACAGGAGGCCTGGTTGGAAATCCAATCATACATGTATGTTCACATAGACTAGAAGGGCAAGAGTAGACAGCAAAAAAAAAAAAAAGAAAGAATTTGGCTCAAAACCATGCATTCAATGAATCATGTTAACTGCCAGACAAGAACACAATTCGCTTAGTAACCCCCTACGTTAGTTGATGCACAGAGAGAAACATCAAGAAACAAGGGAAGTATGCTTGAAATCCTGCAACATCTATGAGAAGCCCAAACCTGAACAATCCACCCGGTGGCCCCACAGGCAAATCTGGAAACAGCAAAAAGAAAGTTCCAGACCACGTAGAGTGACCTTCTTTCAGGTAACATTTGCAAATATTCCTTTAAGGTACTTCTGGGATGAAGAAGATTGTCGTGTGGCCAACAATCATGAGTTTATGTCAGCCCTTGGAATAAAAACCTGTCTCCTCCTTTAACAAAATAGGGTGTCTGGGGTACAGTTCGATGGACATGTCACAGCTATGACAGGAGAGTCCGTGCAGGGCTGGCTGCCTTGCCTCGGGTGCCACAGGAGGGGAGAAGAGAGGGGTGGCGGGGGAGGAATACTGATTCTTCGTGGAATTATGTCTTGAGACTTTCTTTTCACATTTGGGACAATTAAATACACTCAGGTCATAAATTTAAAAATGAGCAAGAGCCACTGCTTGGTAAGGAAAGCACCTGTAACATCCATTACCCTCCCCCTCCCCCAACACACGCACGCAGCACGCAGCACGCACGCACGCAGCACGCACGCACGCAGCACGCACATTCAACAGGGAAATGGACTCCTCGCTGATTCACCGGGCACTCGGCGCTTCAGACTGCAACCGCACGAGCCACGGTGGCCCTCAAGTCAAGGACTTCTTCCGACAGCAGTAGAGAAGATACGGCAGGAAAAAGGCTGCCGTGCCGTCTTCGGGGAGGACGTTCAGGAAATCCCTCAGCTCCAGTTCCACGGCGACCACCGACAGCGTCTCTGTTGGAAGGAAGACGCACCGTTAGCCCTGCACGGGATTCCGCCCCCACGCTCCGCCAATGAGAAGCCGTTTCGGATAAATGGGGGTAACTGAAGGGCGAAGGACAGAACCAGGGCGGCGCCTTAAATCCATAGGTTTCATGCTTTCCGTGCCTGGCTTGACATCTCTCCCAGCAGCCTCTGAGGTTGGTATCAATGGAGGCACTTTGAATTTAGGCTTTCACTGCCCGATTACATCATTCTTGTCAATCACTTTCTATGATCCTTGAAAGGAAAACAGAATCCCTTGCAAACATTTATGGCTGGAAAATGTGCCATGACAGCGTTTGTCACCTGCACAGGTGAGTGACACTAATTACCCTGGCCATGCTGTACCACCATCACCACTATCTGCTGCTGGATTCTGCTGGATTCGCCCCCATCGCCACAATGAATACTCTGTTCAGATAGCATTTGGGCCGTCCTGCAGCTAATTAACAGAGATTGCTGGCTAGAATAACAAGTATCACTAATGTTAGACAACATGTTCTTAGCTCGCCTTCCTCATCATTGATAATAGTAGCGTAAAATTTGCATGTTATCAATAAGCACACATCCATTGAATTGCTTACTTCTCTTTCCAAGCTGTAAGGCAGTGTGCTCTTGGCACATTTTCGATATTCACCGGAGGAGGCCTGGCACTTAAAAGAACATTCCCAGTAAATCGCTGGGCTTATCACTTCCTCTATGGGTCCGCCCTGTTCCCTCACCCCCACATGCCCACTGCTTACTCCCTATGCAGAGTGTTGACACATAAAACTGGTCGATATCTGACCAGAAGACAGCTGGTCAACATGCAGTGAACCTGTGCTTCTTACCACAACGTTAACAGGCTGAGCAGCAACTGATTAGGGGAAAGATGCCAACCTCAGGAATCCACACATACAGCTAGCTCCGAGCTGAGTGACTCCGAACGTCATTTACCCTTACCCCCAGCGTTTTCTCCTGTCTAGCAGTAGTAGCTTTCAGCCACGGTGACCGTTTAAAGACAAGATGCCTCACTGGCATGTGCTGTTGGTAAGGGCCCCCGAGTCCATTCTGATCACAGTGACCCTGGGTGCAACAGAAGGAAACGCTGCCCAAGCCTTGCCATCCTCACCATTGTCATGTCTGAGCCTGCTGTGCCAGCCGCTGTGCCAGCCCCTCTTGCCGAGTGCCTTCCTCCTTGTTGGCTGCCCCTCTACTTTATCAAGCATGATGTCCTTCTCCAAAGACTGGTCCCATCAGGCATCTGGTAAGCCCTTAATACCCACAGCCACATCTAAGGTAGTTTCTGGAAACCCATGCCAAAGACATGAATCGCTGATGTCTTCCTAACACACTGGTTGGTTCTAACCCAAACATGGAGACTATTACGTCGTAATGCTGCCGGATGGCTAATAAAGTGGCTTTAAAGATACGTCACCTATTTATGCAAGCATTTCTTTTGTATAATGACTGTGGAGGTGCCCTGGTGGCACAGTGGGTACAGTGCTTAGCTACGTGAAGATGACGGCAGTTCGAACCCACCAGCCACTACCACAGGAGAAGGCTGTCACCGCCTGCTTGTAGCGAGACTCAGCTAAGAAAACGCTACAGATGAAAACCCGCCCTGCACCGATCCAGTCCGTCGACACAGCAAAGCAAATGCCATTCCCCAATGGGATGAGACCTCACTTTCGAGGAGTTGGGGTCTACAACGCCTCTTTCGGGGGACACGATTCAATCAACCACAACCAAACCTATCCAAACCCACTGCCGTCAAGCCGATTCCTAAGGCTGTAACTCTTGGTGGGAGTAGGGAGCTTTCTCTTTCTCCCGCGGGGTGGCTGGTGTTTCAAATGAGTGACCTTGCGGTTAGTGGTCTAACACACAATCACCGGCCGCGCGAGGTCTCCTTTAATCCACGACACAGCTGCTAGAAAACTACAGTAGCGGGCCTAATTCTCCCCCTCTCCCTCCCAGCCCCAACAGAGCAGTCGATTTCAGCTCCGAGTGACCGTCTAGGTCCTGGGGTCTCTGAGGCAGTTGGTCTTTGCAGCAGCAGACAGCAGCCTCTGTCCCTGTCGAAGGGAAGGGTCAATCTGGCGAAGGGCAGTGGGGATGGCCGCACAACTGAACGGTCCTCGGGAACGTGTGGACCAGGCAGAGGCGGCGCTACCTATGATTTCACCAGCAGGAAATCAGGGGCTGCACTGTTGCCCTCCCTCCTCCAAGCAGAGGCTCGCCGCTGGGGAGCAGGGGCAGCACGCAGAACGACCATGCCACGGTGCCAGCTCTCAACGCATGACAGTCGAATAAAGGTGGACACACACACACACGGCGAGAGAGAAAAACAGAACTTTTGGAGAAATCATGATGAGTCCAGGAGAGAGAGCGTGTGTGTGGATCAGGAAGGATGAAGAGTCAGAGGTGAGGAGGCTGGTGTCCTGCGTATGAAGATGCGGCCTCTCCGCACGGAAGTGCTTCACCAACATATATGCCCAACTCCTTGAAACGGGGGCTGCTTCCCAGGGTCACTCCTCGCTCCCGGGACCACTGTCTGTGGGTGCTCTGATCCCGTATGTGAACGAGTGTGTGTAGTCATTGCATAGAACCTACTTGCATCCTCTAGATCACGTACAATGCCTAGTCCATGTGCATGTTACATGCATAGCACGCCCCAGCTCCCTCTCCTCTCAGCCTCTGAGGTGCCGCTTCGACGACCCCCACCCAGGGTGATGTGAACAGCAGGTATGGAGGGCCATCTGTGTTCATTCCGAAGTCTGAAGCTATTCGATAATTTGGGTCCATTACAAAATAGAATGCAGCTGTGTCCCGGATACCAGCAATGTGACACCCTGTCTCCTGAAAATGCTCAGAAGATTCGAGCATAAGAGTCGGTATTAAATGACCTACCTGTCTTCCCCATCACAAACAAAGGACTTTAATGAAAGGAAGATTCTTGGGAAAAATGACCTCTGACTAAACACTTTCAGACCCAATTCTGTATGGATTGTGATAAGAGTTGTATGAGCCCCCAATAAAATGATTTTTTAAAATAGCCAGTGCTTTCAGCTGGAAAATATGACCCTTTCAATTTCTCATATTTTTAAGCAAATCTCAATCAATATATACCCTTAGTCATCAGCCAACTAATTAGTGATTATAAATACACAACAGTATAAAAATAGAATAGATTTCAAAACATTTAAATGACTATTCATAAATTATGAACATTCAAATAATTACCAATACTTTAAAATACTAGAGGGATCGACTTTTAAACCCTCGAGTTTTGTCCCTCCTCAATAGTGTTTCTAACTGTAATCACTAACAATCTTATCTTTCAACATGAAGTAAACACCCGGATCACTAATCTAAAATTATAACTGTCTTAACGGTTACTCAAAGGTTTAAAATTGTTGACGTTTCTATCCTGTGGTGACGAAGTATCTGAAAAGATTGATTTAAAAGCCTATGACTAGAAGAGATAGCCAAGTCAAATCCAGTTCAGTGACCCTACAGGGCAGGGCTGCACCTAACCGTTGACGGAGCAGAACGCCTCGTCTTTCCCTCCAAGAGCGGCTGGTGGTTTTGAACTGCTGACAGCCCAGCACGCGGCTCGCTGTGTCACGGGGCTCCTCTGGGAGGGAGAGATGGGTGGATGATGGGGGCGGAGCCATAAGCGATCTGCAGGGTTCTGCACACGCCCTCTCGCCGCAGTTCGGTGAGAAAGCCAAGCATCTGCAGAGTCCAGTCCCGAAAACCGACACAGAATCAGTGGGGAAACTCAGCAGCACTCTACCTTTCAAGGACGACACGTAGACCTGGGACCTCTCCCCGCCACGTTTTATTCTCTGACAGAGTTCAGGCAGGAGCTTTTTCCACCAGAGAGTCTGTCTCAGGGAGAAACGAACACATTTGAGTTTGGTTAAAAACAAGTGTGCACATGAGGGGAGGAGGGGGACGAGCTGCTACCCGGGGATGAAATCTTTCAAAACCACGATCTGCAAAGCGTACCCGGTTCTCGTCTTTCAGTTCGCTATTGGCGTAAGGGATGACCGCCTCCGGGCACCGCTCGAGGAGCGCGTCCAGACACTGCCCGTACTCCCTCAGGCGCGTGTGGCACAGCACGTGGACGCTGAGGCCGGCCGCGGTGTCCTCTGGGAGCAGCTCCAGGAAGGGGCTCATGGAGGCTATGTCAAACGAAGGGCCACAGAGGAGAGACTGCAGGCAGAGAAGCGAGATGTCACGGAATGAGGGCGCCCGCCCAACCCAGAAGCACAAGACACAGACGCTCTGTGAAAAGGAAGTGCATGCAGCTGGACAGCACGTGCACTTGGCTCTTGTTCGATCGATCTGAGTGGACGGCAGTACTCAATGAGCTTGATGGTCTGTCTGGTTGAAGAATGAAGACGTACTTCACAGAAAGCAGCTCTTTCTCCAAAGCACCTTTTATTTACTTGGATCGACTGAAAATTAAAGCCCATGTGACGCTCCAAGACTTCACTCAAATTGTAAACTGGTTCAAACACTAACAGTGATGAAGTGAACGGTCATCAGGAGGAGAAGAGTAAGTTGGACTATTATTTCCCATTAAAACTATATTCCAATGGCCATTTAATGAGAAAAGGTTCATGATAAGTAAAAAACAAAAAACCACTCTCCTGAATTGTATTCAGAGCATTATCCTGGTTTTATAAAATGCACACATGTACCTGCACACGGAGGCACAGCTTGGGTAGACCATCAAAACAGATGAGCTGCCTGGATGGGAGGGTAAAGTAAACTGTTTGCTTTCTCCTGAATATTTAAGTGTATTTTCTTTCTGTGATGAGCAGTACCTAGCAAGGACGAGTCAAAAAGTAGTGCTACAGAATCGTGGGAAACTTTATTAAACAAAAATACTAGAATGTGAAGCTACTGCTTCTCAACAGACCCTCCCTCAAGGTCTACACACTTCTTCAGGCAGTGCCACGGTCTCTCGAGAACTGTGTTCCCTGACGGATGCCGCGCAGAGCAGCCACTTCCAAAGGACTCAGATTGCATCGGACTGTGCTTTGGGTTTGTGAAACAGAAGGTCTGAAGGAACAAGATGGGGAGGAGGGGTAACTTGGTGGGTTTATAGCATCAACGAAATTCTCCTGAGAGTCCTAGGTGTGTCCTAATGATCGGGGGTGGGGGAAAATCCTCAATCCAACCTTCCTGGCATTTTTCTCACCAAAACCATTTTGCATTTTCTTAAAACTTCTTCCTAATGGGCTCCTGCAATCATCTCCGTCCTGGAGGAAACCTATGGAGATGACTCATTGCCTTCCCTTCGGTTCTGACTCACAGTGACCCTGCAGCACAGGGTGGAACTGCCCCTGTGGGTTTCTGAGACAGTTCAGCTTCACGGGAGTAGAAAGCTTTATCTCCCTCCTGCGGCTACACATTGTTGGCTTTCCCGTTAGAGCCCAACGGAGAATCCACTCACCCAGCACCAGGGTGCTCCCTTCAGGATTCCAAAACACAGTCCCATCACCTGCCAAGCTGACCTGTGGGCCTCGAATTAACCGGCCCAGAAGATGCCCTGGAAAGTCGCTGCTGACTGGCCTTTTCAATCTTAAGACACCAGCCAGACTCAGGAGAAAGACAGGGCTGTGTCTATCCCCGTAGAGAGTCCCGGGCTCGGAAGCCCACCGGGGCGGGCGGGCGGGTCTATCCCGTGCTGCAGGGTCGCAGGACCCCACGGGAGTGAGGGCTAGACTGAGGCAGAGGTACGGCTTGAGCGGAGTGTTCTGCAGCCATCACTGATTACAGCGGCACCTGAGTGTCTCGTTTGGAATAAACCTGTGCAGGTAGGAGCTGGAACCCTAAGAGCAACACTTTCTGATTTCCTTGTAGATAAAGGGGGGGGGGCAGGGGGAACAGGGGTATTAACATTAAAAATAAAATATAGCCGTTGTTCAGAACTGCATCATCTGTGTGTCCCTTGCTTAATGACATGGAGCGGGATTATCCCAGTGTTCAGAATGTCACTGAGCTGTTACTTTTTAAGCATTGTAAAACGGAATTCTACTTTGCGTCCATCACCAGAATGGCTTGCGCCCCCCTTTCCCCAGGGCCAGGATGAGACGATCACGTCCTAATGTTTTCCCTCTTTCCATCCTTTTCTCTGCAGCGTCTTCTCTCACACACAGGAGGGGCTACAGTGTCAACCATCCATTCGTGGTCAGCTTGATTGTCCTCGTTCACATAGCCACCAAGGAATGGCTAGGAGAATAAGGTTGGTCCTTTTCCTTTCCGGATGTTTAGGAAGCGCCGTCGTGCGCATCATTTCCAGACTGTGCCACGGCAGGGTGAAACGTGGCGGTCGGTCATCCCTCGGGCCCAGACTCGCCCGACACGAGAGAAGACACAGAGTATGTCTCTCTTGGATTTGGGCGTAGATGGAACCACAGGAAGAGGAGGAAAGGAGCAAGGCGGGATGACCCCCATCGTCGCCAAAATGAGATGAGTCAAAACTTTGTACGAAATGGATTCTATCCAGGATGTCTGAGTTAGCTTTCCTATCATCATCAAGAACTCCAACAGCACCGCAGCATGGCCCCGATGAGGTGTACAGGCCTCCAGTGGGCAGGTCAATGAATGAGGTCAAGACAAGCACAATCAACCACAGTATCATCTCATCAGTGTTTACACAGACAACCTACCATGAGGCAAGAGCCCTATGACCTGGTCAGGCTCCCACCTAGTACCTTCACACCAGCCTCCCTCCACAGACAAGAGGCAGGGACTCCTTCCAAAGATCCCCAGTATTCCAACTATGCATCCTGCCCCAAATTATACACCGCGGGCCAAGCGAACACATTGAAATCTTACACTTTACTGTAACAAGTACACTGAACAAAAAGAGCCATTTTACCTTACCTGTAATTTTGAAAGGTCTTCTGTGTAATTTTTATCAGCCGAGGAATCATATGATATTAAAACATTAACCCACGGATAAATTAAGCCATAATGACCACAGGCATTTATCTAAAACATAAAAAAATATTGTCGTAAATAGGATATATGTCTGTACGTGTGTGTAGTGTGTGTGTGCGTGCATGCACATGCACTTTTTGCCCGTCATCCATTCCACAAAATGTAAGACATCATCACACACCAGGTTACACAGTTACTTTCCCCGGGGAGTGGGGGGTATGTTTTAGAATGTACTCAGTAGCAAAAAGAACAATGCTTTATGATCATTATACGCCGCCCCCCACCCAAAGGGTTGACAGCCACACTGGAAATAAGGTTTATGGATGGTGCTTTCCCGGGGAGGCAAAAGCTCTTCCGACAAGTATCGAGGTTTCAAATCCCACCAAGCGCCCCTGATTCAAGAAGGTGGTGTCTGTCCCAGGAGAGGCAAAGGGCTGGGAGAGGAAGTGGTTCAGAAGGGCAGAATACGGCCTGGCTGCCCCGAGGGCTGTGGCACAGCCAGGGGCCTTGTGCAGCTGCTCCCCCAGAATGGACGTCTGCCCTATGTCAAGCTCAGCTGCTCGCTTCATGCAGGGGGGGGGTGCACCCGAGCTGGGGAAAGCCCCTCCCACCTGCTTGGGCAATGACTGAGTTATAACCAATCAACAGCAGAGGAGCTGTTTGGGGCTTTTTTATGTCATTCTTTAAAACAGGGGCAACTTAATCCCAGGCAAGCTTTAGGTTTATATTTAACTCCTGCTTAACGGAGCTACGAGGGGGTACCCAAAAAAACCGGAATGCTCCTCCCCCAAAGCTATGTAGTTAAATTTTTTAATAAAACAACCTTATCACCTTCAAAGTACTCTCCATGACACTTAATACATTTGTCAATTCTGCGATTCCATTCTTGGAAACATATTTCAAACTCAGCGGTTTGGATGGCTGACAGCACCTCCCACGGTTTTTTTCCCCCACCTCTTCCACATTGTCAAATCGCTGTCCTTTCATGCCCCTCTTCAGTCAAGGAAACAAAAAGTCGTAACAGAGCGAGGCCAGGTGAGTAAGGTGTGTGTAAGAGAGGCATGCTGTGCTTTGCCCAAAACTGGCGCACTGCGATGGTCGCATGAGCAGGTGCTTTGTTGTGGTGGCAACATTAGTCCCCCATCTGCCACGAACCAGGTCACTTTTGTCACACACTGTTCAGAACCGATGACAATGATATGTAATGATGTGCCAATAAAAAATAGAAAAGCTTGATTAATAGTCAGACCTGGTGGAACGAACTCCAAATGCACTATCCCTCTCACATCAGCAGAGTTTTTTCTGGTTTTGGGGGGTGCCCCCTCATATCTGGTACTATCGACTAGGTTTGACTCTAAGCTATGTAAGTGAGATGGGGTGTTAGTCACTGAACAGATGCCTGGTGTCACAGACTGTCTTCTTCCACTGTCTTACCAGCTCCTCTGACGTCCTCAGTGGGGCGGTGTCGGGCGGCTGCCTGGTCGATAACCTCCAGATGTAATGTGACGTGAGCTTGAAAAACAGCTCCTGAAGGACCACATCCGGGAGACAGGCCACAAGCTGGGCTTCCCAGAAGTCCACCAGGAGCTGGGGAATCGTATCTTCCTCCTTACCACAAAGCGCCTGGAGAGAGAGTGAAGCCAGCCCGATGCCTCCCGGGAAACAGAGTGCTGGCCAGGTTCCAGCTGGACCCCACAGTGGGGCGCGCATTTAACCAACCGCCCTTAGTAATAAAAGCTTTAGCAGGAAACGAACTGTAGGCTGCAGGCATCCAATTTCCCCAGGTGCAATATTCTAACCTGTACTTTTATCGGGCCGACTCATTATGCGCAAGTCGGCTTATTAAGAAGACACAGCAATAAATGTTAAAAGCCCACGTCTCTTCCTGATCCTGACACTGCCATACCAAACATTTTTTTAGGCCACTCAGATAGATGACATGCCCCTAGAGACCCACCTTAAAAAAGGAATCTGCTTCTTCCAATCCAATTTTGTTGTTCTTCTGTAGACCCAGGATCGAGGCCACAATCAACCCAGGCCGTGTCTCCCTGAGGTGAGCGGCCAGCTCCGTTGGCAAAGTCTGTCCCTTCCGCTGCCGAATCAGAAGTCGAGGTTCCAGGATGAAGCCACAAACCAGCTTCATCTGCAGGTGAAAGAGAAGTTCTGAAATCAGGGGTACACTCTACCAGGTTCGGGCTGTGCATTTTAGAAATACACACACGGGTGCCATCGAGATTCACGGTGACAAGTTTACCTTTCTCCGTGAAAGGCCAGCTATTGCCTGGAGAACGGCATGCTCGGACTGACTGACAGAAGTCACGGATATGGGCATTTCTGAGAAAGGACGCAGGGCTGGGCAGTCCCCTTCGGTTGTACACAGGGTCCCTGTGGGTGGGAAGCCCCAGGGCGGTCCCCATCAACAAGCTGTCCTAGTGTGCAGGAGGCCTTGACATTCAGATCCGCTTGATTTAAAAATACCTAAGTTTGCTGTGCTTTTTTTCTGTTTGTTTGTTTCAACTGTCTAGAAGGAAGATGGATGTTTACATGGATTCTCATTAAAACAGAGAATGGCTCTCCATGCTGAGGTGTTCTTGTCCCACAAAGCCACTCATTTGCATAGTGATGATGGGTGCCTGACACTCTTGCTTCTTAATGGGCATCTGACTGAAGTTGGGCAAAACAAACAAACAAAACCCATCAGCAGTGGGGCCAAAGTGCCCACTTCCAATCCCAGCTCTACTGTTCATCAGCTGTGCGACCCTGGAGAAAGTACTGCATCTCTATCTGAGTTGCCTCCTGGGTATCAGAGAGAGAGGGGTACCGCTACATGCAACTCTTAACAAGAACGAGCTAACATACGCATGGTACTTAGAGCAGACCTGGTACAACGGGGGATCTTCAGGTTCTACTTTCTTGCCCCTAAATGATTCACATCATGCCCCTCAGTGGCATTTCCCCCCCTGAGAGACAGCATTCAAATGCCCCCTCCTCCACCAGGTCTTCTGCCATTTGCTCACAAATCCCCGACTCCCACGGCTCACAGTGAGCCCCGAACCCCCCCGCACACACTTGCTGGACTGACAGGCACCTCACTGGGCTGTGACCTGTGCCTGTCTGTACCCCTCATACCAGACCAGGCTGTGGGCGAGGGGCAGAGCCTGTGCATTCTTCAGCACCAAGCACAGTGCTCCAGACATACCGACCCTCTCAGTGGAAAGATCGGTGAATACATCGCTGCCAGGTAGCAGTCTTATTTCTCTATCACTCGCCAGACCCAAAGTCCCAAGTACCCGTTTGGGGGCACTTCTCTGCTAAGTCTCTTTGCCACACAACTAAGAGAAATTGAGCCAGAAAAATATCCTCGCCCCCACCCACCCCCAAGCTAAGCACCTTTGAACAACAGCAAAGAGAAAAAAAAAACACCTTGTTGCTGTGACCGATTCCCACCCATAGTGACCCGACCAGGGCAGTGTACAACGGGGCCTTTAGGCTGTCAATGGTCACCTCTTTCTCATGCAGATGGGCCGGTGACTTCAAACCTCTGACCCTTCCTTTGCAGTGAAGCGCTTAACTAAGGCACTAAGGCACCACTGCAGCTCTCCCTAAGGCCTGCTGGGTCCTAGCTGAGGCCCGCGTGACTGCCGGGCAGGCCCCATACCTCTGAATGGCTTTCCATCTCATGCCTGTGCGTGTCGAGGTCACCCAGTTTCAGAGCCACTGCTGCCTTGGCCAGGGTCACTACGACTGATGAGAACCCAGCCGCGTCCAGCTTCCGCAGATAGCTCAGGGCCGTCCGGGGGTTCGCCTTCTTCATGGAAGGGCTACAGAGAACGTGGGGGAGTTGCTTTGGCTCGGTGACATGGAACATCTGGATGACTTTCGCTGCCAATTCCTTGGGTGAACGCGATCAAGAAATAAAAGAAAAAAGTAGTCAGCCAGTAGAAAACAACGGCGACAAAGACATAGTTCATCTGTGCGCACATGCACTGATGTGACGCCACAACAAACATAACGCAACCGAGGTCAACCTACAGCCTTGGGATTTGATTGAAAAAGACAGGGTGATGGTGGCCCCCAGGGGCCCTGAGAGGGCCTGCCGTGGTGCCCTGGCTAGATAACAATGACAAGAAAGCAGTGGAAATATGTGCAAGACGGCGGCCAGCATTCCTTATTTTCATTCCCAAAATAGCAGTTACTGTGATTGCAACCACACACTCCCCCCCTCGTTACCCAAGGGTTATCTCTTCAGTAAACGATTTTTAGCACTACTAGGGCTAAAATCATCCTTAAGAAAGGCTGACACGAGCTCGGTTTCCTAAGCCATCCTTACACCAGGCTTGGGGACTGGGGCACGCAGGGCTGTGGGAAGGGCCCACGCAGAGCAGGCAGCGGGCCCACACTCTGATACTGCTCGAGAGACATGCGCACGGCTGTCACATCAGACGGGATGCTCCACAGTGAGGCTCACGGCTCCTCATCCATCAAATGGGCACGCGTGAGAAGACCACCCTTTTAGCCTTTCTAAAGCTGCAGTCAGTCCACGGTCCTCCATCACTTTCTTCAAAAAAGAAAAGCAAATTCCCAAAGAAGAAAATTGGGATGTAACTGTAAAAAAGTTAAATCACTGTGGCAGTTACTTAATCTCTTGTCAGCTTGGAAAGGGGCGGAGTCTAGCCTGTCAATCATGCCACAGACAATGAGGCCTCTGTGTGGGCATGGCCTTCTCCCGAGGATTCAGGAACACCTGCCTTCCTCCCTGGAGGTGGGAGACACTCTCTGCTTCATCTTCCTGAGACATTCCTATTGACAAGCCACATGGAGCTGTGCCGATGGCAGTCAGGGCGCTGGAGCTGGAGGAGCCACGTGGAGACCCACGCCCACTAAGATGCTTTCACCACCACTGGATCCACAAGACTCCACCCACTGGCCTGTGATCTTCCTGCACTCGGCGTCATTGCATGGCTGCATGAGTCTAAAGAGGAATTTATGGACTAGTATTGACATATGGGCTAATATTAGGCTTATGGACTTGATCTGGACTGGGCTGGGACGTTTTCTTAATGCGCAATTGCTCTTTGATATAAAGTTATCTCTTACACATATGAGTGTCTATGAATTTGTTTCTCTAATCAAGCCAGACTAATAATTACTAAAGGGGGGGAGGGGGTGGGGGGAAGCAAGCTCATTACATAAAATATTTGAATAAAATCTAAAATGAGAAGTTAAACATGAGACATAAGTGGATACAAAACCATACTCACTTCACTTAATTCTTCATCCAGGTCTTCGTAGAGAGCGTGATTCATATAAAAGACCAAGCCCCTCTCGTATTTCTGTGCTCCGTCCTCCCCGGTGCAGTCCGCTCGGGCCAAAACCTCAGCCATAGACCACCCGGACATCTTGTAGTACGGCAAGGCCAGGTGCGCTTGCTGGGTGTCCAGCCTGGGAGAAAGGAAGTGGAAGACTTTTATTTTGACGGCTGTCAGCCTGCGTTGCTAACGCAGCTGGAAAGACAGCAGGTGACACATTTCCGGAGGACAACAATGGTAAAACGACTTTTCTCCTGTATCAGCAGCCGGAGCAGATGCCTAGGTTTCATGCTACAACGTGATTCTAATGAATGTCATTCCTTAACAATTCAATAAACGAACTGTCACATTCATGGTACGGCTCTAAGATAACGTCTGTGTGTGTAGACAGGGAAGAAAAAGCACCCTCCTTCTCATGAACACCAAGTAGACGTTTTTAAACGAGGTGGCCCAAACGAGCGACTTCTGTCTGTGGAGAGAGCAAGTCAGCGTCTCTGGCGTCAGGGCAGCAGCAGCAGCAGCCACTGAGCTCTTCTAGTGCTGGAAGCATCTTGATGCCAATTGAAAAAACGCTTAAAACAAACCAAAAGAGATTTCCTAAACACACTCCCATAAATAAAAAGGGACCCTCATCCCACGATCCCGTTCTGGCATCCTAAGAACACTGACTATTTAGGTTACAATTGAGGACGATCCCATGGTGCAGCGCCCCGAGAGCTAACAGACCACCCACAATGCTGTCCTTGCAGGTGCTTTCCACAGCTCCTGTGCCTGCAAATCCCGCAGAGAATCTCACCTTCCTAAATCCGGTGGTGGGAGGAAGCTCACGGATGCATTTCTTAAATCCCAACACTTTGAAAGCAGGAGATAGGTCAGGTTCACCTTTGTCTCTGGAAGCAGAGTATCTTACCTGGGCCACAGCACGTGCTCCGTGAGTGCATACACTGAGTGCCTCCCCTCCCACCCCACCCCCATTAACAGGTGACTCGTGGAGACGGAAAGGTGAGTAAGCTCGCCCATCGGACCGCCGGGTGGTAACCCACCTGCTGTAACAGTCTCCCAGGTGCCCGGCGCTTTCTCTAAACGCCTCCAAGAGCTCCGCCTTCTCTCCGGGCTCCAGCTGGTGCCCGGCCATCAGGGCGGCTCTCACCAGCAGGTGGGCCTCGCTGAGAAGGTGGATGCAGCTCTGGGTCTTCACAGTCTTGTAGGTGTTGCTGTAGTCGACCTAAGACCCGGAGAATAAGCAGCCGGTGTTGCTGAAGAAAGATTTCCCCAAACGTTCCCCAGTTCCTAACAGAGCCTGTAGATTGCATTGGTCAGTTAGTATTTGGACATGGGAAATACGGAAGATGGACACACTAAGAGGCTATTTATCATTACTATAGGGCCTGGCTGGAGTATTTCCCCCCACAGCCTGCGAGTGAGTTGGGATTGTAGATGTGACCATATTAAACAGTGCGGATCTCTTTGCCCAGGAGCCTTCTGAAGCCCCTCAGTAAGAAAGAGGGTGGGAGAGTGGGAGAGTGCGTACGAAGAGTATGAAATGTGAGGAAGGAGCAAACGAGGGGCAATGTGGGCTCAGGTGAATCCAATCTGTGTGGGGACTAGGCACAGGTTCTCCCTATTTGTGTTTAAGCAACTGTTCTGCAAGTCGGAAACCATTTGGGAAATTGACAGGAGTGGACAGCTGTCACGCTGGGAATAAGAATGCCCACTCTGGGCCCCACCCACAGGAAAATGCCAGTGAGACCTCAGGGAAAGGAGCGTGAGACGGGGAGAGATGATTCACGAGCCCCTGTAGCCAGCCCCGATTCATGATTCTATTTGCTCAAATTAAAAGTTGAAGGTTGAAGGCTACTTATGTGTAGAAGGGCAATCAATCCTTTTAGGTGGGGGGGGGACGAGTAAGAGAATCTTCTTTGGCCAAAAGGGATTCCTAGAGGCTCCTCAGCTGCCAGGGCAGGGGAAGCAGATGGTGGAGAAAGATTCACACTGCCCTTTCTGACGGAAGCTGGGAGCTCATTGGCCGGGTATTTCAGGAAGTGTGAGGATTAGGAACCAGTGTCTGGGCCTCGCTTCCCCCTGTCAGGGCTGAGCTCGGAAAGGGAAGTTTGGAAGGAGTACCATTTCTTTGTAGAGCTGCACCGGTGACACCGTGTTCACAATATATAAATTCCACCCGGCCTCGGCCACAGGAGCAGCTTTGGGCTTAACACTGTTATCTTTTCTGGAACTACATGTGAAAAACAAACAAAGGAAAAGAATTGTTTTAGATAAGGCATACTTCTTTTGGATAAGGCATATTTTTAATAAATGGCAGTTTTAAATGGCAAAGGCTGGATACCCTGCAATTCCACGATGAAATCTTTGACATTTTGGATTCCCTTCAGAGAATCCCACTCATTGAACATTAGGTTCCTGATATTTCTTAGTCCGGACTAGTGGTTCTCAACCTTCCCAATGCCGCGACCCTTTAGTACAGTTTCTCATGTAGTGGTAACCTCCGTCTGTGGGCATATCTACATGTGCGCAGACCCGCCTGGGGACGGATAGAGGAGCGGTGTCTCGGTTCCTAAGGCCATCGGAAATATGGCCGTAGG